ATTATATTTTAAGACGTCCACTAAAATATTTCGGAAAAATATTAAGATTTAAGTGAGCTGGACCGATTTGAAAATACCTCCAAAAATGGAGTTTTTATGAATAAAAATAGTTTCTTAAAGCTTTTTTTTGAAAAAATCCCCTCAAATGGCAAAACGGTTTAAGCATAAAAAATTTACATAAAAATATTAAAAAAAAAATAAAAATTGAACGGAACGGTAATGATGAGATTTTTGATGCTGTTTTTTAACTTTTTTCAAAGATTGATATAAGAAAAACTTGAATAACTGAACCTAAACTCTTCCGATTTAGACTTAAGAGGTGTCACTAGAAAGGTATTTTCTCACCCTTTTTATTTCTTTGCTAATAAACTCATTCAAAGGGCGAAAGAGAAAAGAAGGATGAACGAACGTCATTCAAAGTTGAATTAAGATGTGTTGGTGTTGAAAAAAAAAATTGGGACACGAATGACTTTTTTTGGACAGAAATGGTGTGAAAATACCTTTTTACTGAGATCCCATAAGTCTAAATCAGAATAGTGTTGGCCCAGTTATTCAAGTTTTTCGTAAATAAATCTTTGAAAAAAGTTATAAAAACCTCATCAAAAATCTCATTCTTACGATTCCGTTGAAAAGATTTTTAAATATTTTTATGCAGATTTTTTATGCTTAATCTGTTTTGTCATCTCAGGGGACTTTTTTCAAAAAGTTCTTTAAGAAACTATTTTTATTCATAAAAAACTCCATTCTTGGAGGTATTTTAAAATCGGTCCAGCTCACTTAAATCTTAATATTTTTCCGAAATATTTTGCTGGACGTCTTAAAATATAATAAATTTTGTAATCCTGGCGGAAAAAGCGCAACATTTTTTGGTGATGCAGTCTAATGTACATACATATGTAGGTATGTATGTACTACATAAATTTGTTATATTGAAAATTATTTTTAGCATTAATTACAAATTCTATGTAAAATGCTATTTTGATTGGGAACTGATTTAATTATTTATGGTATTGGGTAGGTTCAGAAGGCGCAGCAGTTGAGCGCAACCGTTGCTAAAAAAATCAGTGATCGTAATGCGTCTTCTGAACGGCTTGATACGTTAGCTGTCAAATTCAACAACACACAACATGTTGTCTCAAATGAACAAGAAAAAAATTACGATCATCTAACAAGCAACTGTTCAGTTGATCAGAAGTACACAACAACGCGCTCAGAAGGCGCAATCGCAACAGTTACTGAGCTGTTACGCCTTCTGAACGTGCCCATTAGCACATTTGATACATTTTTTCTACTTATGCATTCAATTCAATGTTTAATAGCAACGCCAAGATTATTATTCTGAAACGAAAAAAACTCGTTGTATTTCTGTATGAGACCATCACGTCAACAACATATTTGTTCTGATCAAATATATGGTCTGAGACGTATGTGTGAGCTCTTTCTTCTGCCTATAAATGACCATAGCGGATATTTACACAATTGTTTCATTCTGAAAATTTTCTTATTAAATTCATATTAAAAATGCCTTCGTGAAACTGGCTATAAGAATTTCTCTTTGACAAGATTGACAAGACATCTTTCCCCATATTATAAGTAGTTTTTTATATATGTACGAGCATACGTGTTTTAGGTTGTTTCAGTTTTATTGAACTTATTCCCTAATAAAAAAAAATGAATTAGTAATAAGGCAACCCTATTCTAACAGCCAATTTCGCGAAAGCAATTTAAGTGAAAAGTGATTTGAATTTTTTTAATTTTATGTGGAAATTTACAGAAAATTACAAATAATTTTCGATTTAAATTGCTGGTGAAACCGGCTGTAAATCTTTTTACAACATATGCATACTAAAAATAATAGTTTTTATGCAAATCCCAAATAAAATATGACGCCCCCGGGTGGGCTCGAACCACCAACCTTTCGGTTAACAGCCGAACGCGCTAGCCAATTGCGCCACGGAGGCGTTCAAGCCAAGTCTGTAATCGCGGGCTGTGTAAGCAGATGGTGCAAAGCAATAGCAACTATGTAGAAAGAGAATGGCCTCGCTTGGAAAAACGATAAAAGTAATATACATGCTCACAGATGCGGGCTCAGTAAATCTCTAAGAAAAAAGTTAGAATGAAAAGCCTTTATCCACATAGGCAGGTTATATAGGACATATATATACATGAATGCACATTAGGGTGACCCAAAAAGAGTAAAGAGTGCTCTCACCCCTACGTCGAAAAAATATACCCCAATTTTTTATTTTGTGATCAAAAAATATTTAGGTCGCTCAAAGCGCTGAAAGTTTCCAATGAATTTTATATCGGAACAAAAAACAACCTTTCGTAAGGAATTCTTGAAAATCAATGGCTGCGTTTCTTTATACATTCCGGATAATCCCATTTCACAGCCGGAATAAACAGAATGCTTTTGAAATATACGTTAACATATCATTAGGAACGTTCTAAAGAATAAGTAAACAAAAAAGTTTATTCCAAACGTTCAGAATGAATAAAAAAATTCAGCCAATATTTTTCCAGACTACCAGTAATAATACCCCAAATTTTATTGGTGCCCCCATTGCATTTTTTGTGGTTTTTGGTGATTTTTTTCGGACGTATAAATTATAGTTACTATGAAAAAATGGTTAAATAAATAATCGGATATTATTGTAGGGAATATCCTACAGAGAAGTAGAGTTTTCCGATCGAAAAATATTCATGGTGAGTTCTATACCATTTCTAGGAAAAAAGGTTTTGGAAAATTTGAGCGCTTTGAGCGGCATCTAAATATTTTGTGATTTCAAAATAAACAATAGGGTTATATTTTTCGGTATAGAACAATCATAGGGGGTGAGAGCATACAAATTCCGACTTCACTTTCTCTAATGCATTTTTGACTACTCTAATGCACAGTATCTACATAAATATATATACATATATATATATATACATACATATTTATGCGTGTATATAATTGATTTCTGTCCGGGTCATCAGATCTGCACCGTTCGTTCGATTTTCATAAATGGTGTGTCAAATATAGGGCTTGACTTGTAGATGTGCAACAAGGTTTTACTTTTTCGAAGAGAGTTGCCAGCTGTTAACAAAAAATTAAATTTACATTTTTTTAAGAATTGAAAAAGCAATTACAATATGGGTATCAACCGAAATGATTTTTAAAGGAGAGTTGCCACTTATTAAAAAAGTTTAATTCAACTTGAATTAAAAGAATAAGGTAATTGAAATAGAAATAAGGCAATTCAAGCAAAAGAAGTTTAAGAAGGTAGTATTTTGAAGAGGTCATCTGTTTTGTCAAATTTAGTTAACTTATACACAAGTTACATAAAATATTATGAAAGCTTTAGTTACAACATTTAGACTCTTTTGTGTTTGAAGAGGGTTGCCATCTGTTAGAAAAGTTAAATTAAAATTCTTATTCAAAAATTGGCATGAATGGAAATCTACATACATTTATAATACACGAACACATTTTTCTTGAAGCACATCAGATCTGCAAGGTTATTTCGAATTTCCAAAATGAGATGCTAAATTAAAAAACTGGGCCGCAGGATTGCACACCTTTTTGTTTTGTTTTTTGAGATTATTTTTTTTTTTAGCGGTACGGGGTGATTTGAAATTCCATGAAATTAAAAACCGACACCATGCGTGAACTCTCATCAAAAGTTCTACACATATCCCTAAATATATATACTAATTTTATTACTGATAACAGTTATTCACAATAAATTTTTACACAGAGAAAAAATGAATCAAAAATTGGTTAATATTAGCAAATTCAAAGGAAAAGAAAAAGGAATCAACGAGATTTGATTAACAATGCCATGGTTGCCATTTTCAACAATGATTGGGTACTATAACCAAACTTTTGGTTGTAGATTTTATTATTAATTAATAATAATTAATTAATAAATGTCTCGTTAAATGTTCTAGTTGTATCAATTTTCCCCGTCGTTTCATTTGGTTCTGCACTTCACAGATGCTTTTTAGTAATTAAGGAAAACCAAAAACTTAAGAAAAAATTAAAAAATTAAGTGTTGCGCTGACAGCATTCGTACTCGAACCTGCTGGAAGCCAACAAGTTACAGCAAGCTACAGCCAGATATACGAATTTTTGTTAAATGTTCGACTTCAATCACATTTCTTACAACCGGTGTATTAACCATGAAAGAACAAAACATTGGGCCTTATGAATAAAAACTAAGCAATTGATTTTTCTTAAAATTAAAATTTTAAGAGTAAACAATTGCTTATTTTTTTATTAATAAGGCTCATTAACTTCTTTGGGGAAACCATTGCACTTTTGGCTCAGGGCACAATAAATGTTTAATTTTTTTTATTAATAAGTAATTTTTAAGCAAAACCTCAGCCGACTTCATTTATCATAGAAAAATTTTGGAGTTCCGTTAATTTGTTCATGATCCTATTTTACGATCTAACCCAAATTAATATGGGACCACCTCGGAGACCCTACCTTTCCGATAGAAGATCAACTATCGAAATCGGTTGACGTGGTCACAAGTCATGCGAGAACATACAAAAAAAAAAAACTTTCCGACGAATTGATAACCTTCTCCTTTTTTTGAAGTCGTTTAAAAATGAAATTTATTTTCAACCTAAAATTAAATAGTTTCATGACATAAGCATTTTCAGAGTATCTCATTTTACAGGGAAATGTTGATTAAAAACAAGCTGAGCTTAAAAATCAAAAACCAAAAATTACATGCACACATATGTACGTATGTTCTACATACGTTACTGATTAAATATACAGTTGATCGATTCGGATTGATGAGCGTCTATCTCGTTATTGCTAACCCAATTGTTAGGCACTTTATTGCCTTACTGCGTGCGTAAGATTTCTGGCAAAAATTCTTAATAAAAATGATTGGTGTAAAATTCAAAAAACTGATAAGGTACGACTGCGTTACATTTCTAAAACTCTTAAGTTCTATTAGAGCTCGAGTATATAAGAACCTCAATGCAACTATTAAAGTATACAAAGTAAATATTACAGTCATCTATTAAACACTATTCAGTAAGCCACAAATCCAGCGAATATGAAATCAACTACCAGCTATTGCATCCTAGTCGCAGTCCTGTTCTGCCTTTGTGTCTCGAATACAGAAGCCTTCGGTCGCAAAGCTAAGAAACTCAATCCGGAGTTGGAGGCGAAATTCGATGTGCTGACCGCTTGGATTGCTTATCGTCTCAACTTGAAGCATGCCAAGGAAGCTTGTATAGGCGAATATGGTTTCACTGATGAGCTAGCCACCAGCCTAGTAAAAGTACAAGTGGCGAACCCCAGCGACCGTGAGAAGTGCTATGTCAACTGCCTCTATACGAAATTGGTCTTCTACAACAACAATCAAATTAATACGCAAGCAATGAAGGAATCCTTGATTGAAATTGTGGGTGAAGAACGTTTATTGCAGATCGTTAATTCGTGTTTGAATGCTGGAGGCGCTAATGACTGTGATAAGGTGTATAAGTTCCATGCTTGTGCCTCGCCCGAATTCGATAAGGTCCGTGGAGACATCTTCCAACCTGATGAATAAACTTTTTATTTTTAAAGTAAAAACATTTATTTAAAATATATTAGTTTAAGTTTTTTTATACGGAAATTGTCAATCACAAACAGTATTCTAGTTTGGATTTGAAGACACAAATAAACATCTAGATTTTGGCTGACAAAAATGTATGTACACATGTGCACACTTAATTTGAAAATAGGTTTTAAAGGAGAGGCTTATACGGTACGATATTTTGCTCACTATTCGCTGTGGTAAAGGCTGATAGAATTTTTAATAAAAGCTCCCGCAAATTAGGTACAATTTAAAATTAAATTTTTCGTCCATGGTGGAATATCAGCTGTAAAAGAGGACCCGAAGCAAACAGCTGATTACGATTTGTTCAATAAACATACCTTAAAGTCAAAATTAAATATATTCAGCAGGGTTTCTTTCAATTACCACTCAATTAAGCTCTAACCGATCAATTGAAATTTTGATCGGTAAATCGAGCTCAATTAGCGCCTTAATCGAGAAACCTTGGCCGATTGCTCTATTAGAGCCCAGTCTGAACATAAGTATGTACTTTAAGACTGCCACTAAAAAACCCCAAATAAATTAATTCTGCACTTTAAGCTATATATGTGACCTGGTCTACGAAAAGGGAGCTTACGTGCGAAAACTAGTTTTCTGTGAAAAAGCTGTTAAAAGTAAGCAACTCGTTTCGTCAGTTTCTCATTATCTCGTTAATTGTTCTCCGCGCCGGACGTCCAGTAAGTGTTGTTGTTGGTCGGAATATTATTATAGTTCATCGTGTAAGTTGCTAGTGTGGAACATTTAAAAAAGTAACACTGAAGAAGTGACGTTTACTGTTTCTGTTTCTACATTTTTAGTACACTTCTAAGAAAGTTAGGATTTTCTGCTTTTCACCACGTGAAAAAGCATCTCATCTTCCATCCGAATCAACCAAAAAGTGAAAATTGATTTTTTGACACCTAAGCCCCCTTTCCGTAGACCAGGTAACATATATACATTTGTCCATTAGACCAAACCACTTTAAGAGAAACAAAAAACAGTTCTCTGCACACCTTCGTATCCAAAGTATTTTAGGCAGGTAATTTGGATTTTTTTTTGCTGAACATCTTATATTTTTTGGTGACACCTATATTCGAGAAATTTTTATTTTTTTTAACTAGTTCAAAATACTTTCATAGCCAAATTTCCAATAATTTTTGGCGAGCTTTAGCTTGCTGACATTGGGTTAGTACATAAGAGTGGTAGGATCTAAGATCTGGTGGGTAAGTACTACAACGGAGTACTTGAGGTCAATAAACTTTGGAACAAAAAAATTGTGTCCTCGAGACAAGAACATCGATTTATTATACTTTAAGAACCGACTTTAAATGTTAAAACTTTGGGGAAAAATGTAAAAAAAAACTAAATTGCCTTGCAAAAATGTCATAAAAAATAAATTTTGAGTTTTTAGAAAAATTTTGAATATGCAGTTTTATAGACCACTAAATTAAAGTGCAAGTTCAAAGTGTCTAAGAGTACGCGTTGAGTTTTAATATTTTTTTTTTCGCTAACGTTTCGAGCGCATCTGCATGCTAAAAGTTTCTTACGCGAAAAAATTATTAAAAACCAACGCGAACTCTTAGACACTTTAAACTTGCACTTTATTATACTAAACTTTAATATTCTATATGATTGTAAGACTGCATGTCCAAAATTTTTCTAAAAACTTCTGTTTTGGGCATCCCTACAGTTTTTTTAAACTAGTTTTTATTTTGTAACATTTATTAGTTAAGCATTTCATTCATACTAACAAGAACTTCGGCCTTAGCTTTACAACTTCGTTACAAAAATTTACTGCAACTGAAAAACAAAACCAACCTTAAGCGAACCCATACAAGTTATTGCTCCAGAATTAAGAAAAACAGTTTCAAATAATTAACTTTTAATTTTTTATTTGGTTTAAATAATTTCATTCAACTTCTACTTAATACAATTTCCTTAGCCTTAATACTTCTTTACTCTCTAGACACCTCCTTGCCAGTCCTCATTCATTTCATTCGTCCGGCAAGAAGATATCACCACGCACCTTATCAAATTCAGGCGAGGCACAAGCATGGAACTTATACACCTTATCACAGTCATTAGCGCCTCCAGCAGTTAAACACGAATTAACGATCTGCAATAAACGTTCTTCACCCACAATTTCACTCAGCGATTCCTTCATCGCTTGCGTATTAATTTGATTATTGTTGTAGAAGATCAACTTGGTGTAGAGACAATTGACGTAACATTTCTCACGGTCACTAGGATTCTCTACTTGTACTTTGACCAAACTGGTGGCCAGTTGATCCGTAAAGCCATATTCGCCTATACAAGCTTCCTTGGCATGCTTCAAGTTGAGGCGATAAGCAATCCAGGCGGTCAGCACATCGAATTTCGCCTCCAATTCTGGCTTGAGTTTCTTTGGCTTGCGAACAAAGGCGTCTGTATTGGTGGCGCACAGGAAGAACAGGATTGTGGCCAGAATGCAGCAGCTGATGGTTAGCTTCATGTTTGTTGCTTTGAAGAATTACTAAAAGGTGTGTAGAGTATGCGGTTGATT